TCACTTCCTTGTCTGCCTAAATTACCGCTCCTGTCATTAGAATGGATAAGGCGACTACAGCAAGAGTTTTCCTAAATTTTGTTTTCTGCTCAACGGGAAACAACTTTTGCTCCCAGTCATCGGAAAATGATTCTGGGATGAGCAGGAGAATGTAAAATGTATGAAAAAAAGTGAATGAAAGTGGGATGACGGAACGACGTTCGAGGCCCTGTGGCCTAATGGATAAGGCGTCGGTCTCCTAAACCGAAGATTCAAGGTTCGAGTCCTTGCTGGGTCGAAACTTTTGCAAAGCTTCCAGTCACCCGGAAAATGATTCTGGATGAGCAGGAGAACGTCTGTGGCCTAATGGATAAGGCGTCGGTCTCCTAAACCGAAGATTCAAGGTTCGAGTCCTTGCTGGGTCGAAACTTTTGCAAAGCTTCCAGTCACCCGGAAAATGATTCTGGGATGAGCAGGAGAATGTAAAATGTATGAAAAAAGTGAATGAAAGTGGGATGACGGAACGACGTTCGAGGCCCTGTGGCCTAATGGATAAGGCGTCGGTCTCCTAAACCGAAGATTCAAGGTTCGAGTCCTTGCTGGGTCGAAACTTTTGCAAAGCTTCCCACCCGGATAATATGCTGCAGATAAAGCATGTCGAGAACGTCTGTGTGGCCCCTCTGCACACGTGTTTGGCCGCGCGTGCGCTTAGATCTAGGTCAAAAAACGCTCAAAACTCAGCTTTATTACTTCACAAAAACAAACTTTAGTAAGGTAAGGGACGGGGTCGGCCATTACATACTCAACGATTTCGGAAATAACAATAAGGGTTGCAAGTGTAACAAAAAATGTAGAACATGCAGCATCACCAATATTGACAATTACATCGTATCGCATGTTACAGGATTACACATCAATACGTATAAAGAAGCAGATGCAAACTGTAGTACAAAAAATGTTATATATAGAAGCGGTGTCGTGGTCTGTTGGGTGTGTGGTGGTATTGAACGGATTCATACGCCTCGCCTGTCACAGTCGTTCCCCCTTTTGAAGAGATGTTCATTCTTAGCGACCAGTGGATGTTACATCATAAGTGAGTTCAGAGGGGGGGATGGACAAAGTGGTACGTATAGGACTGTAACGACTGATATAGCTGTAAAGAAGGGGCTTAGAAATCGCGCACCGCATTTCGTTTTTGTCGTTCATATTATTAAAGGAAGCGTAGAATTTGGTACTGTAAGAATGTTAGTGAGTGGCTGTCGGATTCGTGCATCCGTGCGACTATTAATTGTACAGTGATTGGCTAGAACGGACCTCGAAGACAAGGCTGATAGGCATAAACTGAGATTGGCTAGATAAGATATGCAACATAGTGTGACTCCAAGCTATGAATTAGACGGTGCGTTCCGTTTACCGGGTCTCCGTTTGCATTTCGAGGCGAAACATTCTTGATGGATGCCTTCATATCAACACACCAAATCATGTGGGGGTCTGCCACTTTAAAAATTGCTTGAGCGTGAGGAGATTGTTAAAGCACGGCACATTGCAGAAGAACAAAGAACAAATCAGCTCATAGCGATTGCACAGGAGTCGTGGCATTGCTACCAGCTGGAAGTGCGCGAAGAGTTCGCTCACACTTCGTGACCGTCTTGCAGTTCGTATGTGGAGAAGATGGGAATCGATCTTGCGATCGTATGGACGATATATCTACTCTGCACCCGGTCTGTAAGCGGAATGTAAACCTGTCGCAGAGTATGAACGCACCGTAATGGTAAGGGTGCTATGGCCTTGCCTTGACTGCTTGGACGACTTTCATTCTAACTCGTCCACAGCATGCGTGGTGTCCGGGCCCATTCGCACAGCGCGCTCGCTCGTGCATTTCCCTCCTCGCCGCGTTTTGTCCCATCCCCGTCGTTCGACGTCACGTGAAAAAAGAGGCTCCCAACTCTAAGGTTTCCTATGTTTCCTTTCACCCCTTATCGCACGTTCATCCTGTTTGCACCTCTTTATTTTATTTTCAAGACTGACTGAACTTCAACTCATCGCGCCTCGTGCCTTTAAATCACATAGATAAGTCCGCTTTTGTTCTTGCAGGAAGGCACAGGCGTTTAGTTCGTCTTCTTTTTTTGCACGACAATGATTTCTAGAGAACCTTTTATTGTACAAACGAACAAACCATTTGAAAAAGGCTGAATCGAACAATGAACAACAAATTGACGCTGTGTGGATCGCGCTCACTTTGCGTAGCAGACAATTTTTTGGGCAGACTTGTCTGCTGTCCCGATTTCTTCCCAAGTTTTTGTGTGCATTTTATAGGCCGTATAACAGCACAACCAAGAACCACGTTGCTTACAGAATGGCCAAATATTCCTTTTGCAGAAGTTTTTCAGTAATTTTCACATCGGTTCCTGGCTGCACCAATCAAGCCCACCTCTCAAGTTGGTTGATCCTCTTGGAGATAGAAGCGCTATCTTATCGGTCGATCCCCATAAATCATTATATAGGTCAGATATGATTCAAAATTTCTGCACTTTTTTGGATGGAAGCTCAGTGGGTGGCCATAATAAAAGGTTGAAGGCGACGTGATTCACCCATGACTCCCAAAGTTCCTTCCTTGTGTTCTGAGGTCCTAGTTATTCACTCTCATTGTCCACCTTTTCTCAATTTGTTCTGGCTCAGGTCAGAATACGTCGTTTAGCCCCGTTCGTTTGGCGTTCAAGCGCTGATAAGCGATGATAAAAGGTGTAGGCTAAACTGGGGAAATCGGCTGCGCTCGTCTCATGAAGTGAACGCTTTGTGATCGTATCCTTCTCGATTACAAATGAACGTCAATAAACGATTGATCGCTACATAAAATCGCTTTCACCCGTCGAAAAAGGGACGTGGGAACGAAATCGAGTCAGCTCCCAAATTACCCACCTAAAAAGTCGTTATCTCCTGTTTATTTACACATTCTCTGGTCGCGAGATTCCCTCACTAATTCGACACAGGGTCCGTTTGACCCAATTAGTACATCGAATGTTTTACAAGGTCGGTGAAGTCACTTGATGACCACTCAATGATACCCGCACCTCTCGAGCTTAACGGCCTTGTTGGTGGCTGCTTTCCGCCCGCGCGAGATGATTTGATATATTTTGACTGCGTAGGACGTTAGCGTCCAAGTTATTTGCGATGACGGTTTTTCTCGGCTTGCGCATCCGGATGGCCGAAAAAGTCTTCCAGTTTTATCACACTGGCGCTTCTCGACTGCTTATAAGGTCAGCCGCGCCGTGATTATCGCCTTCACATTTTCGGGCCTACAAGCCGCTGAGCGTTCCATTTAGTTCTCACTTATCCGCTATGGGAACCGCAGGTGATGGCTTGGCACGTCCTTCTCGCTGACCGTATACTGTTCTTCATCACAAGTTTCTGCGCTGTGTTGAAGATTACAGCGGTACGGATATAAATGGATTAATTAGCTGAAAGGGACATCTTTCATGCTTTGGGACCTTTTGGATTGGAAGGCGATTGGAGCTTTTGTTTTTTTTTCCAAATCGGTGACAACGGGAAAAGTATTGCGCTTTCTCCTACCACAACCTACAAAGATCTTACCCGAGTTGCTTTCCTCTAAGGGCATGAGTGACATGAGCGAAACGAAACACAGCTACTTCTTTATTCGTTTCCTTCTAGTATTGTGGATATGCGTCCATAGAGTGATCTTAGACTAGGGAATTAGAACTCCCATAAATAATTAATTTTTTACTAATCTTCATAACATATTGTTAGGGGAGCCGTTCAGTGTTGCGTCGACTCTCTGTTAAGCTATCATTTATTCGCTTTATATAGCACAATGTGTCACCTGTTTCTCCTTCTGTATTTTTCTTCTGTATATGAGTAGTTACCCGGAATAACCTCTGCAAAAACCTAAAGAATACTTGGCCGTTATCGCCACGTGGTTCTGGGTTGTGTTGATGTACGGCCTATGAAATGAACAGCATCTTTGGTTCAGAGTCGCTGCCTTGGGTACTGCTGGTTCCCTTGAACCAGTTTTTCTCTTTTCTTGACGGCAACATTGAGTTCACATACTGGTGTAACTGAAGCGCCCCACATAGTAGATCAATACGCACTGTATCTTTTTGAAATCCTCGCCTATTTTTACCACCTAATTGTACGTACGATTGCCACTGTGAAACCCTCCATAACCCTCCAAGATCAAGTTTCAAAGGCTCAACCCAGCAGAAGTCGTGTGAAACGCTTCCCCCTTACGTCCTGTAGTCATAGACCCACCTCCGCCCAGACGAATGCACAAATGGCGTTCTCGCGCACGGGTACCAACCAATACGAACAGTTCTTGGGCCTTGCAAAGTAAGCTGCCCAAGCTGCAGACTTTTTTTCTCTTATCAGGCTGTTGTCTGGCGCTCTCTCATCTGTAGCGCTCTCTCGCCTCATACTCTCCTCTCCGCGCTTAGTCTCTCATTCCCTTAGCACAGCCGATTAGGAAGGTGAGTGAGCCTCCTCAACCTAAGCGTTTTCGACGGATTCTTTTCCTTTTTTCTTCACTGCCGGCCCATTCGCATTTCGTTGCAAGAGGCCACACCAATCTTGATTTGGGGCGCGCCTTTGACCGTTCTCATTTGTTAGCCTTCATTAGTGTATCTAGCGGCGCTTATCAGTACTCACAAGTTCCACTGGTACATAAATAGTAATAAGTAAGAGACTCAGCTTGTCATTTTCTCTAGCATTTTGTTTTATTTTATCGCTGTGCATAGGGACGGAAGTGGTGTATCGTAGGCACAAAGTAGCGCTGTTTACCACTCCGTCGCGGTCCGGGATCAAATCCTGGGTCGTGAG